CCCCTCCTCTCCACCTATAAAAGGAGGCCTTCCCCTCCTCATTCAACACACCACAAGGGCTCTCCACTTTACCATTTTCTAAGATGTAGTAGTAGTACTAGCTAGTTTGGAGTTAGGGAGAGATGCTTGAGTTCCAGAGAAGTCCTCGGAGGTTTGGTATAATCTTGTATCGCTCCTTTGTAAGACTCGAGTTTCAATATATTTATCTTCTCTAATTACTTGAATATTTTTCATGGTTATCTAGTTCATGGCTTAGTGGAGTAGCTAAGTATGGTTAGTATAGTGGTTTTACACCTTGACATGGGATCTCCGCTCGACCGAGTGCTCTAGTTATCAGATGTGGCTAGAGTAGTAATCGATAGTGTAGACGTGGTGTCTAGACTATAGGTTACCTGAGGTTGCGCCCAACCCCATGGATAGTTGTGGTAGCCCCGGAGGTGACAGCTCCGACCAGGCCTTTGTAATCCACCATGTTCGGGTTGTTGTTTTCGTAGAGCTTTTTGGCAGCCTGACCCAATCACCTCTTCCTAGTCTTTTCGAGGATCGGAAAGGTACTGCTGCTCCAAAGTGTTCTTTGTGTGATCGCTATGTCTGACCTCTGCTTAGCTAATCCCTCTGGTTTGAACTAGAAAAGAACCATAGTAATAGAGAAGTGTATAGGAACCTTGAGCTCTCCCGTTGTCCTCCTAGCTTAGCCTATTTGCTCTTTTTATCTTATCATGGAGTTCTCCTGTGTGTGTCACTTATACAAAACTTCTATTTTACCACTTACCCCCACTTGAGTCTAGTTGGTATAGTAGCTAGTAGATACATGATGGTCAACTATCAAGTTCTTTAACCAATTCTTCCCTGAGGATAAATACGATACCCTGAAATACTCCTGGGTGAAAGCTACAACGGTATCCGTGCACTTGCGGATTTCTCTGTTTGCGTTAACAAATACCAACATTAAGCAATGTGACTAACAAGGTTACTCAAACCAAATTAGTCACGCAAGGGAGCTACTTCTATGCTACACAAGCTAGAAGGTAACTAGTAAACTACACAAGTCAACTAATTACAAGAGCAACTACACAAGCACAAAATATGAAAGGTAAATACAAGTTTGTGTCACAAGGATGCAAACCAGTGCAAAGACAAGTTGACACGGTGATTTTTATACCGACATTCACGTGCTTGCCAACACGCTAGTCCCCGTTGAGACAAGCTCCAAGGTTGCCGTTGGTCCTCTTGCTAGTGGTGACCCGCAAGTCACGCTCTCCCATGTGGAGTGCTTACCTCAAGCTCTAGCACTTGACCCAGCTGGACCACTTACCACCTTCGTGTCTCGCTCTACTAGAGTTGCTCTTCGTGGCTTCCGTGGGGTGAGCACAATCCCCCTCACAATCACTTCTTCCGAACACCGCACAATCTTCTTTGCGTGCTTCGACGGAGACCGCCACCAAGCCATCTAGGAGGTGGCAACCTCCAAGTGTAACAAGCACCACCGGCTTGTAACTTGATCACCTTGTGCCACAAGATGCAATCTCTCATTGCAATCGTACTAGAATCACTCACTCACAATTGATTCGCACTCTTGCAAGCATAAGTGAGTTAGAGGCTCTCCTAGCACTCCCCAAGCATGGATACTAAGTCCCAAGGGTGCCAAGCATTATCCAAGACCGGCCCACACTCCTTTTATAGCCCCAAGGGCTAAAATAGCTGCTACCCCCTTCATCCTAATTTATGCGCGCGGACCGGACTCACCCTTGAGTCCGGTCCAAAGTCCGGTCACTGAGATGCAGACATGTAGCCTCGCTGTTCGAAGATGACTATTGCTCGCTAACGGCTAGCTCCCGTGCGCGCATACTCCTGACCGGACGCGCCTAGGTCCAGCGATCGGATGCGTCGAGGCCGAGTCTAGTCACCAACGCGCCTCTGCACAACTAATCGGACTCCCCTTTCTCCTATGACTGGACTCGACTTTCCCAGAGTCCAGTCACTTCCAGAGAGGTTTCAGAGAGCTCTTTTAATGACCGTACGCATCAGGTCATCACTGACCGGACTCTCCGTGCGTTCGGTCGCTCCTAGACGCATTAAAAACACTGACCGGACACTCGACCGGACTCACTAACACTGACTGGACGTGTCCAGTCGCAGAGTCCGGTCACAGACCTTTCATTGCTAAAACGGCTATAACTATTAGCTCTAAAGTTCTATTTCAATGATCTTGGACATTTTGGAAAGCTTATTCAGAGGGCTACACATACCACTTGCATATTTGATCCAAAGAACAATGGATCAATGCATAATTCCAATCCAAGAGCCATCACATAGTTCGGAGCACACCAAAAAACCTTTCTCTCTTCTCCAAGTTGATCCAATTCAACTCCAACAACTTCTACTTTGCAAATATGCCAACACCACCAAGTGTACACCACCATATGAGTGTGTGTTAAAAATTTCACAAACATTTTTCAAAGGATTAGTCACTTAATTCACCACGCCACTCGATCCTAGCAACAATGCAAAGTTAGATCACTCGAGTGGCACTACATGACCGATATGCAAACAAGTTTGTCCCTCTTGATAGTATGACCATCTATCCTAAACCCGGTCATAAACTTTTCTACACACCTATGACCGGTGAAATGAAATGCCTTATAGGTTATACATTTGCCTTGCGCATTCCATTCCATCTCCTCCGATGTTGATGCAACACATGCACCATCCTTGATCAACAAATCATATGATCCACTTTGTGTCATTTCGTGACCTTGTTGGTTCATCGATCTTGACCTCACTTGCTTTTCACCGTTGCCTTTAGTCCATCGGCGCCAAGTCTTGCTCAAGCTTCACCGTCACGCGGTCCATCGTTCCAAAGCCTCCAACTTTCCCTTGACGCTTGCAATCGGTTCATCAAGCCAAGTCCTGTCTTGATCTTCTCCACCTTAGTCACATGACTCCATGTCATGTCTCATATGTAATAATGAGCTCTTTCATCACATGTGTGAGCCTTCCAACATATCCAAGCCATTTCACCTCCATGGTATAGGTTGCTCACACATGATGTACTTATGGACTAATCACCTGTGTATCTCACTCAAAAACATATTAGTCCACCTAAGGTTGTCACTCAATTGCCAAAATCAAACAAGGACCTTTCATCATCGCCGCTGGGCGCCCCCATGGCCGGACAGGATGCTCCAGGCGCGGGAGCGGTAGATCCAGCCAAGAGAACGCCAGATCCGCGCACCCTGACCCGAGAACCCACCGGCAGTCGTTGCCCCATGCCATCCCAGCTCGGGAGCACGTCCAACCTCCAAGAGATAGATAGATAGAGAGAGAGAGAGGTGGGGAAGATGAAGCCGCCGCCGTCCTTGCCTTTGTCCGACTTATGGCATCCAGCTCTGGCGGCGGCCAGACATAGACAGGGCACGGGAATGTGGTGGTGCTCGGTGGAGACGAAGCCGCCCAAGCCGCCCCATATAGGCGACGCGGGGACCTAGGATGGAATTGGAGGATGATCAATCAGCAAAGGATTCTATACTTTCGTCTTAACCTTCCACTACTACACATATTCTTTGGCGCAACGTTTTCAAAAAGGGCTTCGAGGCGGGCGACCTGGTTGCCCGCCTCGGTTATTTGAGGCAGGGCAGCTGGGCCAACAACCACCTCGGTTAATCCTTAACCGAGGCGGGCACTATAATATAACCGCCTCAGTTAATAGGCAAATCAACCGAGGCGGTTACATTATATTGCCCTCCTCGGAAAATCTACACCAGGCCCAACAAAAGGCCGTATCCAATCCACCTATCGGGCTTATATATACAGGAGTTAGGGTTTCTCATCTCCCACTCTCTCACTTCTCTCTCCCTCCCTCAGCCGTCAGGTGCCCCTTTCTCTCCCTCCCTCTCTTCTCACTTCTAGTGGTGGAGGGGCGGCCAACCTCGCATCCCAGTGGTGCGGCCTGGCCTTGCGGCAGCCCGGCGACTTGGGCGCAGCGGCCCGGTGGCGTGGCCTCGCAGACGCATCCTCGCGTAGGCGCAGCGGCCCGGCGGTGCGGCCTGGCCTCGTGGCGGCCCGGCGGTGCGGGCGTATGCACATCCTCACGCGGGCGTGACGGCCTTTCCTCGCCCCTTGTCCCCCGCGACGGCGGTCCTCCTCCCCCGCGACGGTGCCCCTCCTCCCCTACGCACCGGATCTGGGGGTGGAGCGGCCGGATCTGGCCGCCCGTGCTCCCCGGGCGGTGGATCTGGTTCTGGAGGCGCGGATCCGGTGGTGGTGTGACCGGATTCGGTAACGGAGGCGGTGATGCGGCGGGGATGCGGCGGTGGTACCGCGCGGAGCAGACGAGCTCGCCGGTGAGCTCCAACCGCCTCGGTTAACCCTTTTTGTTCGCTTCGGTTAAGTTTTCTGTAGCGGTGTTCAGAAAATACGCCGTTATAACTTATAATGAGTAAAGTATATAGCCTGACTTAAAACATGTGCAGGTGTATAATGCCGGTCCTTGCATTTACAAATTGCATTATTCGGTGCTTAATTTCTCAAGGCCCACATGTTAGCTCCATCTCCATCTCTCCTTTTTTACCTCTCTCAGGGCCATGGTCGGCTGGCCTGCTATCGCCCCTGCCCCTGCCACCCTCTTCGGTCTTCACGCTGATGATTGTTCCGTGCACGTCGCCTAATCGTGTCATCCCACCCTGAAATGTACCCTACACTAACCAATATTGGCCACCAATCCAGTCCTTTGCATGTCGTGTTCCACATAGGTAGGCTCTAACCGCCTCGGAAAAAAAAAAGATTTATGGCGACCTTTGGACTGAGTCGGACGCGTTGCCCGTAAACCAAAAACGCACCCCTCCAATAAAAAACTGTAGTAGTGTCACCACGCGGCGAGGGAGGGGAGGAGCCCGTGCAGAGTCCCGACCGCATCGAACTGGCTGGGCGCGTGCAGAGCCTCCGCCATTGTACCACCACCGCTGTCACACAGCCCTGCACCTATCGCTCCATCTGCAAGCATGGGTAATCACCTTGCACCGGCATCGCGGCACCGACAGCCCAGTCCGGATCCAGCAGCCAACAACGGAGGCCACAGCAGCGCGGCGTCGTCTAGCGGCGACGACGTCGACATCGACGTCCCGGCCCTGCCACAAGACGTCCTCTTCGACATCCTGCTGCGTCTCCCCGGCAAGCAGCTCTGCCGCCTCCGCGCCGTCCGCCGGTCGTGGCGCTCCGTGCTCTCCGACCCGCTCTTCGTCGCCGCCCACGCGGGCCGCAACCCGGATCTCCTCGTCGCGGCGGCGGACGTGGACCTCCTGTACGACGCGGCTGCGTCCGGCCGCCGGGTCGTAGGGCGGGTGACGAGCCGCGCCGCCGCACTACCTTCGCCCCCGCGGCCGCGCTACTACCGCGCGCACCTCGGCCGTGTCCTGGTCGTCGGGGCGGACTAGCGCCCCCGCGTGCTCGACCCGGACAACGGCGCCGAGTCCCTCCTGCCGGACCACGTCGACCACCACGGCGAACCCGACACCTTCTTCGTTCTCGGGTGGGCGGCGGCGGCGACCTCCATGGGGGGCAAAGGAGGAGGGTACAAAGTGCTCAACATCACGCTAGACTTCGTTCTCGGGTGGGCGGCGGCGGCGGCCTCCATGGGGGGCAAAGGAGGAGGGTACAAAGTGCTCAACATCACGCTAGACCGTGGACGCCACGTGCAGCGCTGCAAGGTGCTGACACTCGGCGTCGGCGGCGTCGGTGGCGGCGTGTGGAGGAAGGCGCCGAACACGCCGCTCGACGTCAAACGTGAACCGTGGTCGGCGGCGGTCGCCAACAGAGGGGTGGTCTACATCGTGGCATGCGGCCGCCGCATCCGGGCGGAGTGGATCGCGGCGTTCGACCCCAGGACGGAGCGGTGGCGGCGGGGGCTCATCCGAGTCCCGCCGAGCAACGCGCTGTCAAGCCTCCTGACGGAGACGGGAGGCCGCCTCGTCGCAGCCTCCGGCTCCTTCTCCTACGCCTCCGCCATGCACCTGTGGCGTCTCGTGGGCGGCGAAGACGACCCGGAGGCCGCCGTCTGGCACAAGATGTGCACGGTGCACATGTCGCGGATACAGCGCGGCGGCATTTGTGTGCTTACTAACTTAGCGTAACGACGTAGCCTTTACGAGCTTAGAGACCGTAGCTAGAACCGTGGTAGGTGGCTTGTATTTTTATCAGCCTAGAGTAATATTTGTTTGGCTTTATATTTGGGCTAGTGCAACATTCGTTTTGCCTCTTATTTGTTTAACCACTTTGTCCGGTGTTGTTATAGAAATTTTTACAGGCTATTCATCGTCCTTTAGTTATGGGAACCTTTTACTCTTTTTTTCTTATTCACCATCCTTTAGTTATTAGAACCTTTTACTCTTTTTTCCTCGAAAACACGGCTGTTGATATATATCAATTTATATTCATGTGGGGATTCAATCCCCTCGATGACAGGCCTTATTCGGCTTGCTGAAACTTGGCTGAAAGTGACTGAAAAACACTGTTCTGGCTGAAATGTTGTGAGAGAAAAACACTGTTCCGGCTAAAAAAAGAAGCCGAACAAACCGGATATAAGGTAAGCCGAACAGGGCTCAAAATATTTGGGGAGAGCTTTGGGGACTTTGGGGAGCGCTTGGATCAAAATATTTCGAGATCTAGTTGAAACACTATCAGATATGTTTTTTTTTTCCATGGAAATCTCTATCCCTGCCACCACGGAGTGATATAGTCTTTCTTGAAATTGCTCTTTATACTAGCAAAGTAAAAGTAAAACGAACTCTTAATGAACTCCCTGAGTGCGAAGCAGATTATTGGCACCGTAGACTCCAATGGCAACGTCCATGTAGTAGGACATGCGCGCCACATCCTCGAAACCCTTGGTTCTCGGATCATACACCCGCAGCACCCAGTTTTTGTCACCGGCCGCACTGACGAGAAGCAGGGAACCGTGCAACTGCACAGGCGACCACACCAGGAAGGCGATCCTCCCGCCGTCGAGCACCCACGGGGGCATCGCGATGTCGAATCTCTCATGGTGGCCGCCGCGCTGTATCCGCGACATGTGCACCGTGCACATCTTGTGCCAGACGGCGGCCTCCGGGTCGTCTTCGCCGCCCACGAGACGCCACAGGTGCACGGCGGAGGCGTAGGAGAAGGAGCCAGAGACCGCGACGAGGCGGCCTCCTGTCTCCGTCAGGCTGGACAGTGCGTTGCTCGGCGGGCCTCGGATGAGCCCCCGCCGCCACCGCTCCGTCCGGCCTGAGGTCGAACGACGCGATCCACTCCGCCCGGATGCGGTGGAAGCCTACCAGGATGTAGACCACCCCGTTGTTGGCGACCGCCGCCCACCACGGTTCACTCTTGACGTCGATCGGCGTGCTCGGTGCCTCCCTCCACACGCCGCCGCCGAGTGTCAGCACCTTGCAGACCTGTACGTCACGTCCACGGTCTCGCGTGACGCTGAGCACTTTGTACCCTCCTTCTCCTGGAGTGGCCGCCCACCCGAGAACGAAGAAGGTATCTCTTTCGCTGTGGTCGACGTGGTAAGGCAGGAGGGACTCGGCGCCGGTGTCCGGACTGAGAACGCGGGGGCGCTTGTCCGCCCCGACGACCAGGAAACGGCCAATGTGTGCGCGCATGTGCTGCGGGTAGCGCGGGCGCGACGAAGGTAGTGCGGCGGCGCGGCTCGTCACCCGCCTCACGACGCGGCAGCCGGACGACGACGCATCGTCCAGGAGGTCCGCGTCCACCGCCGCGAGGAGGAGATCCGGGTTGCCGGCCGCGTGGCGACGAAGAGTGGGTCGGAGAGGACGGAGCGCCACGACCGGCAGACCGCGCGGAGGCGGCAGAGCTGCTTGGCAGGGAGGCGCGCGCGCAGCAGGATGTCGAAGAGGACGTCTCGTGGGATTTTTTTTTATTTTAACGCTTTTTAGAAACTAATTTTAAATCTAACACTCTCAATTTTTTTAAACTAACACTCTCAAGTCTAACATGGTGGTGCGGCAGAGGGCCGACGTGGCGACGACCCGAAGCTGTGACCGCTGACGTTGCAGGGCCTGCCGCGTCCTGATCCGTGGCGCGGCAGGGCCAAATAAATACCACGCGCGAGCAGCCACGCCACCTGGCCGCCGCGCCCGCCGCCCGTCCAGGGGTACCTGGACGGTTTAATCGAAACACGACGCGTCCGTCTTTTGTTGAATTATTTTCACGGCCGAATAAAGAATTTGATAAGCCAATGATTCGTCAATCATAATACGGTTATGCACCATTTTAACTAATCGAGTACGAAAAATTGTCACCGGCGTCGAGATACGCCGGGACTAGTTGGTACTTAATCTCGCCGGCAGTGCTGCCACGACGCAAAGAAACAAATAAGAAGCAAGTTGACAAGCTGCCACATAACATATTTATTGTTTTGACATAAGTTTGACATAACTTAACTAAATAACCCTGCAAGTTTCGGATGCCAATATTCGTTTGACATAACAAACTAAGACCCAGGAGTGTAAGAGTCCCTCAGACGTCTCTGTCTCTTCGGATTTGTTGGCAACACATTGGGAGTGTAGCCAATGTCGGTATGGTCGCGTCGACGGTGCGTACGGCTCGTACCCTGCAAGTATGTGATACGCACAATTACTTATAATTCTCTATGATCGTTAGTTCATGGAGCCTACGTATTGAAACAAACTATCTTGGTTAGTACCTGTGAGGCTCCTTGGGTGCCAAGCGGGGCACCACCAAGCTGAGATATGCCGATCTCGTCCTGCGGCCAATCGTCCCACTGGTCGTGCTGTCCGTCGAAGCCCGGGGGGTCGTCGTCGTCGTCATCGTCGTCCTCGTCGTCCTCGGTTGCAGGGTCCTTCCAGCGCTATGATGTGGTGGTGTACGCACCGCGGAAGTGGCACCTGTCATCGACTGAGAAGAGCTGGCTGGTGTCCTCAAAGAGGCTGATGACGTGCCACCCAACCGCGCCGGGAGTGGCGGTTCATAAGGAGTGTCCATGCAACTCAGCTTCTGAGCTAGCTTCCTGCAGCTCTTCTTCACCTTATGCATAAATAGACGTTAAAGTTAGTGCATTACCCAAACGCATATACACTAAAGAAACATTTTCGGAACGGACAAGTTTATGTTTACCTCCACAAAAGCCGCGAGAACGTCTGGCCCCTGCCCTCTAGACTCGTGTAGCCAAAATACTGCTTCGTTGGACAACCTTGACAACTGTGTCGCCTGGGTACAGAAATGCGGTTGGACAATTTTAGTACACATACTTAATACCAAAATGTTAATAAGTTGTACCATTCAAGTATATTACCACGTATCTTTGAAGCGGGGCTCTCTGTAGCTGTGTGTTCTCCCTAGTGGTAACGTCGTACACATCTTCGATGACATCTTCCTCCGAGTCCTCGTCAATCGCCACGTCAGTGTACGGGGGCTTGATATGTGTCCTCGTAGACCTGTGAAGCCACCGCAGTTACTCGTCGAAGGTGCGCTGGTCGTGTGGAGGACCCTCAAGGACCACATGTGGTACCCTGTTTTGCCACAAATGGATCCGCGAGCTGTGTGTCACGCGCCAATCCTTGGTCTTGTACCTCTTCCTGCGGTCAGACCTGCAACAAAACGATGTTAGTTGTACCAAACAAACCTCTGAATTGTAGCATTGTTATTAATCGATAACGTACCCGTGCAATTCTTGGTTGGTGGAGTAAAGCGGTGTTGGGCAGCCTGTCATTCTCCCAAACTGTCTGTAGACCCGGATGGGCAAGTGAATCTCGACCATATGGAAGAAAATAAGAGGGACGTCGCAGCGATACTCGTGTGACTCGTCCCTAGTGACAGGACTGAGATAGGCTTGGAGCTCCGGAGAATCCCAAGGACACCAATGCACCTGAAATTTCGTAATTGAGTTAGGATGTGATATAGTGTACATCGAAGAAGACACATGTATGATAGTAAAGAGAGCGTAACCTAGTGCTGTGTCAGGACGTCGAGACCGTCCGTGTACTCCCTGTACTTGCGCCACACATTCCCTCTAACTAACTGTGCTTTCGTCCAGATATACAGAGCTGTAGGGAGTGTATCATGCCCGTTCCATTGCTGCATTTAACACGATAATAAATTAGCCACTAATAATCTCATCATATCTAACTAACTCGAAGAATATAATAAACCGAAGTACTTACCGGTAAACCATTATTTAGGGGTCTCCCAATAAGCAATCGTTCCCAACACCAAACCTGGAATAGGTAGGAGCAACCCCCAAGGTTCGCACAGCCTGAGGTGCGACGGCAGGCAACGCATAGCTGTCGATACGTCCATGCCAGGACTGCGCTGCCCCAGCTGTACGCCGCTATGTTCTTCCACGATTGGCGAAGTATGTCTAGGAAGATCCAGCTGATGGTGTTGCCCGAGGCGTCTCAGAAGAGGAAAGCACCAAGAAAATGCCAGAGCCACACTCGAGCGAACCTGTCAATCAGAGCCTCCTCAGCCTGTGGGTCCAAGTAATCAAAGCGCTCCGTGATCCAGGACGACGAAACACCGGAACTTTTCCTAAAATTGACAAAAGAAAATAAGACCCCATGACTGCAGAAAAGCAATGCAAGTATTAAATAGGCTTGAATTACTCACTTATTTTTCATGGAAGCATCGTCGTCCGGTGGACGAAAGCCAGTAAACTGAGCCACCAGCTCCCTCCAGTGATCGTTGTCAACTATTCCTGTCACTGGAAGTCCCCCCAACCGAAGGCCTAAAATAGCCTTCACGTCCTGCAACGTCAAGGTCATCTCGCCACAAGATAGGTGGAACGTGTGGGTCTCAAGCCTCCACCTGTTATAAGAATAAAACGACTGTTAGTTGCCTCAAATTTGTTACAAGAAAGTTTACGTACAAAGAATGCACTCGCACCTGTCTACAGCTGCAGTAAGTAGTGCTGGGTCAAGGGGTGGCAGACCGTGGTTGACAACACAGACAAGCTCGAGGAAGCCGGCACGCCTATGTACGGCGCATAACGCTCGTCCCACTGATGCGCCCTGGTGTGCGTGCGAGGCCTCAAAGGAGGCAAGGTCACCTCTGCGTCGGTGTCACTCAAGATGTGTGCTCGGTGCTGGTCGTCGTACTCCACCTCAAAAATGGGATACAACGGGTGCTACGTGGGAGGGGCCATACTGTTACAAATTGATAGACAGAGCGTTAGAGTATTCAAATTAACAAAATTAAAATTAACATTAGTAAGTTCACAAACAAATTCACTAACCTAACTATCCTAAATCCCTAAACCCAAAATCCTAACTATACTAGATAATAAATACATAATCAATCCATAAGATCCCTAAACCCTAACTAAATACAAACAACTATAAACTAAATACATAATTCAATCCTAAACCAAAAATCCCTAACTAAATAACTAAATATAAACTAAATAACAAATTAATAATCAATCCCTAAACCCAAAATCACTAACATTCATAAATCAATAACAATTATAAAACCCTGACTATTCTACATTACTAACTATCCTAAATCACTAATTATCCTAAATCAATAATAATAAAAAATATATGAAATCGAGAGGGAGGTACCTTAGGAGCGGGCGAACTTGACGCGCCGGCGTTCGTGGCGCGGCCGGCGCAGGAGCTACGCGGCGGGAGTGGCCGAGCGAGGCGTGGGCGGGCGAGGCCGGGCCGGGCGGGCGCGTACGGGTGGCGGCGGCGGCTGCGGGCGAGCGGGCGGGCGGGCAGGGCTCGCGCGCGGTATTTATTTGGCCCTGCCGCGCTACGGATCAGGGCGCGGCACTACCGCGCCAGGTCGGTGCCGCGGCAGGCCCTGCCACGTCAGCGGTCACAGCCTCGGGTCGTCGCCACGTCAGCCCTCTGCCGCGCCACCATGCATGGCGCGGCACATGCATTTGGCCGCGCCAGGGCAATAGACGCGGCCAAAAGTGTTAATTTAAAAAAAAATCGAAAGTGTTAGATTTAAAATTAGTTTCGAAAAAGTGTTAAAATTAAAAAAAAAATTCTCTTGTGGCAGGGCCGGGACGTCGACGCCTCCGTTGTTGGCTGCTGGATCCGGACTGGGGTGTGGGTGCCGCGATGATGCCGGTGCTAGGTGATTACCCATGCACACAGATGTTTTTGTCGCGAATACAGATTACAGATTTTGGGTTGGAGAGGACTTTATAGCGAGTCAATCAATCCAATAAACGGGTTTTTTCTGTTGCTGGTGCGTAATATACGGAAACCCTGATTCCGCAATTAGAGGGCGATCATGGCTCTGAAGATCATCTCATCAATGTCACCATCGACAGAGCAAGGCTGCATGGAACGACGAGAAAACAGAGCTCGCTCGCTCGCTCGCATCAAGACATGGCAACCTGATCATCGTCGACCAGAGAGCTATTGCACGAAACAGGAACTAGTTTTAGATAGAGTAAAAGAAAATTGGTCCTTTCAAGTTAAATGTGCAGACTGCAGAGCATGCTTGACTTACCAATTTTGTTGTTCTTGCAGAAATCCGCGGTAGAGGTGAGCAATGTGTGCTGTTCAAGAACCTAAGGGGGCGCAAATGCATCGACATACGCTGTCAAGCTGTCGTGCCTTGCCATGGCTTAGCTTTGGAGAACGTGAAGCTGATTGTCATGGGCAGCAATGGTGATGCCAAGAGCACTCGTCAGAACGCGGAATGGATGAAATCGGGTACTGTTCTGTTGCTCCACAGCCATGTCCTCCAAGCAATTGATCAATTAGAAGATGCACAGAGATGACCAGGAAAGAGATGGTTTAGCTGTACAAACATATATGAACGAACATGAACAGATAACACCTTTTGCAGCATTACAGGGGGAGTGAGGTTTTAAGGGCCATCATGCCAACTGTATGAGGATTCAATCACCTTCAAAAAGCAGCAAACTGACAGGTTGCATACATTAGCTAAAACATTTCACAAAGAACGCGTTGCATTGTGAGTAGGCACTAAGCCTATGTGCGTGCCAAACACACAAACCCCAGAGGTTATCAATTCTCAGCAAGGACAAACCATCCATGAATAGGTGGATCTGGTAGTTACCTTCTATATCAATGTGACAAAACGAAATAAAGTTTGAGGGGTACATAATAGCAGAAGCTAGCCAAATTAATAGCGAGCTCAGCATGTACAATGGCAATTGTTCATAAATCATACTACATCGAGTTAGCAAGAACAACAGTGAGCAAGAAGACAACATATTTTAGGAAAGGAGAATGGTATATCTCCACTAGTGCTAGCTACACCCCTCCAAGGTCACAACACTGGCTGCAGCCATATTGACAAGGTGGATACAGGTTTTGGTGGTTTGTTTGAAGCAGAACGAGATGTCCAAGCAATCACTGATTCTGGGGCACACAAAAAAACTGGAGGGTACCTGCTAAGGCTAGTCAAGACAGCAAGCTACCATCCTCCTGGTAGTTAAGGTCGCCGCATCTTAACATTCAAGGGTACCTCCTTGTATGAGACAACCTTTTCAGCAGCTCGCCTTAGAGACCTCCTCCCTGATATCTGCTCTACATTAGATTTCCTCGAGGACCAACCATCATTCTGCTCTTGATTTGTCCTCTGCTCCATCGAGGCATTTGAACTGGAACCGGCCAAAGAAGCTACATCTTTGTGCTCAGTCTCAACAGTGATATCCGTGTCCTCAGAAGATACTGAATTCAGTCTTGCAGATTTTCTCCTTTGAGATTTTCTGCAAATATTAAGGCCAAACAAGGCTGTTATGTTCCAGTTGGAGACAATTGCATTAGTTGAATGCAGGCAGTAAGCAGGCAAGACTAACCTCTTTTCTTCGTGGTGCAATGGCTCACGGGTAGTCGTGTCTAGTTTGGCATTTACATCCTCTATGGCCGACCGTTTTTTTGAGCACCTGCACATAAACTTTCTGATCAACACCTGATTTGGGAGAATTATGTGAAGTCCAAATGAGATACAAACAGATTTCTGTATTTTATCAAAAGATAAATCAGGGTTTCTAAGTCTTCTAGGTTTCAATTTAGTTTAATGGACCAAAATAAATCCTGTTAAAGGCCCTTTGGGGGTGAAAACCAGACCAGACAGTTTGAGCCATCCCAGCAATTTACCAGTTTTCTCAATTCTGGCTACAATTGCATCTTAAACAACAATGAAAAGGATGATCCTTACCGCTTCATAGCGTTGTCTTCTGGTGGCTCGGGGGGGTCAACGGTATTGAATGACAAAGATGCTGTAAAAGAATTGTAATTGGGTGAAGATTAATAATTCTTCAAATTCTGTGTTCAGAAAAAGCTGCAGCAATTAGCATGTGCTTGGGATTTATCCTTGGGGTTTAAGATTAAATTTCTAGCATACAATGTGCTTAGGAGAAGAAATAGACCAGAATGTATCAATTCAAACTGGATATTGGAATTGTTTCATCTGGAATTAACTGGATAACTATAAATAAGTGGCACATAAGAAATGTCGAAAATATGGAAAGATGAGGGCCATTACATTCACTTCCTGTCAAATGGTTTTGTTTACTATTGAAGGCCTTATCACCAATTTTATGAGACTGAACTCCAGCTTCCCTGGAACATGCTTCCTGTATCTCCTGAATTACATTGTAGGAAACAAGTAGATTAAATCTGCAAGTGGTTCCATCATTAATCTTTAACTGGTTATTAAATGCACCCCATACCTTCAAATTTGTTTTTTGTGGTTGCTCATTTATCTCAGTTTCCTGATAGGATCAGACACCAGGGGTCAAAAGATAACATATTAATTAACATCAATGACTAGAAGATGAATAAAACTGCAAGATAGACATATAGTACCTCGAATTCTGAAGCCATTACCATATCATGCACTGTTGCACTGCACTCATTTTGCAGTGACTTCTCCTGCACAGTATATCACCAAATATTGCACAGGTCAGAACCACCCAATATTAATTAATCCTTTTAGAGAAGCAAAACATATGAAATAGTCTTACCATATGTTTTCCAGTGGTTTGCCCATACTGTTTTTGAACACTTAAAGTGGAAGGAGCTAGAGGCGCTACAGTGTCCTCATGCAATGTATTCTGAGATACTCCGCCAATCTCACAGGAACCTTGGTTCAGTCTCGAAGACCTTCTCCGTTGAGGCATTCTGATCATACAATTAACCAACAGTAGTAAAAAGTTTCAATCAGATAGTGTTGCTGCAAAGACACATTCCATAAACAAGAACAACCTCATGGCCAAATCATGCTATCTTGATTTAGACGCAGTTGCAGCTCGAACATTAGTAAATAGATAAAATATACCTCTTCTGTTTTCCATCTTGTGGTGGCTCTAGGCAGACGGTATTTGATGATACGGCAGCTGAGAAGAAATTGAATCAAGTGAAAATTAGAACCTTAACAGTGCCTGACTCAAAGCCAATAAAGCCGTAGAATATACAATGCTTTATGTTGAACACAGATGACATGAAGTGCAGTATGGAAAAATAAAAATCCACAAAATAAAACAAGAGAATAGAGTGAGATTTACATTGAGATTCAACCAAATGGTGTTCAACACCACTGGTTACCGAGTCAACTCCTGCGACTATGGAAGCTGTGCCTTTCAAGACCTAATTCCATTACAGAAGGAAAAAATTCAGAATTATAGTAGTTGTATATTAACAAAGTGAGTCATTTTACTTACACATTTAATACCTACCTGAGCTTTCACTCCCTTTCGCTGTCCTTTGGCAGCGTTTTTATTTCTCTGCAAACATATATGAGTATAAAATCATGGAATCTATAATGAAAAAGAAGCCAAGTTAAACCATACTCTTACTTACATCAAGCTCTGAACCCTTTACTTTAAGCAGTGCTGTTGTACAAGAAAGCTCGTGCTGCAATATCTTAATCTGCAGATCATATCCTCAAATTACGAAATCAATAACCAACCATATTCAGTACTGATAATCAATGGATGCCAAAACATAGAAGAATCTGACAACTTACTCGATCTTTCCCCGCATTTATTTCCTGCAATGAAGCACATAACAGAAATATTAGGCAGTGATCTATTTTGCACCACAAAATAAGCACTATGTGTGTAATGCTTTGACCCTAAATGTAGATCTACGTCCATTAGGACATTCACAGTCTCCGTCTGTCCGATATGACACTTGGACCAATATAACATATATAAATACATAATATTTTAAATAGAAAGAGTTATACATTATTTAGATGAATCTATTATGTCAACCTTATGTTATTTGTCTCTTTGTTTTTTTGCTATTAACAGTCAAAGCTAAAAACGCTTAATTTAAGACAAACCTAAATGAACTTATATTTGGGATCAGAGATAGTATAATGGTATAAAGTAAAAAGATGGCATACACAATTTACTCAATTTTTCACATCCAACATAATGGAGTTAAACTCAACGCATAATTTGGGGGAAAACTGTATCTGAACTGCCAAAATTGAGCACTTGTCCTTTTTAAAAAATAGTGTTATTGTGGTGCACAGGCATAATTCGCAGGATAGCATGCCGTTCAATTGGATTGCCAACAAAGGAACAGCACACAAGAGTAAAAGATCAATGTTAATGCATCCATGGTGAGAAACGGAGTGGATGGAGATGTACACAAACCGCAAGCATCTGCGAATTGTTTTGCGCAAGGTGTAGATTCTGTTGTTTCGATGCTTGCAGCGCAAGACGGAGCTTGTATATCTCAACCCTGCTGAGGTCAATTATCTTCCTGCAGAGAAGGAAAGCTAAGCTACATTAGTTAGGAAAGAAATAGCAAGTCCCCCACTCACACCCACACATCTACAGCAACAAACAAGAAGGGGATGGAGAGGCAAGGCAACATACGTCTTCTCGTTGAGCAGAGTCATCAACTTGCCGTTCTCCTGCGACAATGCAAGCAAATATCGAGCTCAGCGAATAGATTGTCCGATAAAAAACGTAATCAAACTGGTATGGCATGAGTAACCTCGATACGGCAGTTGAATTGTTGGAGCTAAAGTGACGAAGCTCACCTTGACGAGGTCTTGGGCGGTGATGGATCTGGCGGCGTTGGGCTTCCCAGTGTTGGTGATGTCGGCGAGGGCAACGGGCTTATTCCCTTTCCCCGGCGGCGACCGGAGCTTAGGGCCGCCATCGCCGCTAGGGTTCGGGTGCGGAGGGTTCAAGCCACCGCGCGCCGCACCTCCTCCTGGTTCAATGGGCCGAAGCTCGAAGCTGAGATGGCGCGGCGTGGACAGGCGGAGAAACTAGAATGGAGCCGGGGGAAGAGGACTTACCGGCAGCGGTGGAGGCCATGGAGGTCCCGTGTGCCCGCAGGGGTGAGTGGGGCGGTCCGCCGGCGAGGGGCTCAGGTGGCGAACGAGCGGCGCGGGCGCTGGGACCTGGAAGCCCAGCTCAGGGTGTAGGCAGCGCGCGGAGGGGTCGAGGCGGCGGCGATGGCTCCGGCGTGCCGTGATGCGAGCCTGCGGGGGGAGGGGAACGAATTCGATTTCGGAGCGCGGGCCGCGGGGTGCGAGGATTCGGAGGGGCGGAAGGGGATCGATTGGGCTGCCGGCTGCGGTGGAGATGGTGGGGCTAGGGTGTCAGGCTGGCCCGCGGTGGGCCCAATCGAATTCAAAATCGGAGCGGGTAGAGATGGAAATTGGAATGCACTCTCTCGGGAGCAGAATTGGTGATTGTGTGGACTGTGGCCTGTGGGCCCTGGAGCCTCAACGTCCAGATGCTGAGAGAAGAATAATATTAGCCCTCAAAATAATATGTCTTCATTTGATGAACTTTTTTTTCGAACTTACTTGTAACGGTGTTAAGTCTGTTAAGTCGATTATTTTACCCCTGACGAAAAAAATAAAATACAGAGTTTAGTTTGTCTTTTTTAATTTGAAACAATATTGCGCAAATAAGGTCACACATAACAGCCTGTTCGTTGGATCGATAAGCCGTTTGTGCTGGTTTGTACGGCTGATTTATTGTGAGAGAAAAGCACTGTATCATGGCTGATAAGCCATGGCTGAAACCAACAAGCGAACATGCTTAATACATAATATTGCTCAATATTACTCCAAATCTAAAAAACACAACAACGACGTCAACAATATTTTTTTCGCAATATTACTCCAAATCTAAAAAAAACAAACTAAACTTTGCATTTTTTCTGCCATTTTACCCTTGACTTAACACCGTTAAGTGCCAGAAACGGACGGGAGGCCATACAGGTAAGAGAATTTCGTTTCTGGGCCTTACAAGTAAGTTTGAAAAAAACGGGCCATGGAAGGAAGACGCATTATTTCGAGGGCCATACAGGTAAATATCTCATAATATTATGGGTAAAATTACTATAGTACACTCTTTATAGTGATATTTGTTGATGAACATTACTTAATAGTGTCTTTGCTAAAAGACACTCTTCAATTGTGTTAATTGGCTCCTAGACATTATGGCTATTAGAATTATACTCCCTCGGTCCCAAAACAAATGTCGTTTTGGATTTTGTATATGTCAAACTTTCTTAAATTTAACTAGATTTATATAAAATATTAGTAATATTTATATCTCATGATAAGTTTTTTATGAAAAATATTTAATAGTTAATCTAATGATACTTATTATGCACATATTAAAACACATGAAAACATCCCCCTATATCATTGCATCCGGAGGTGTAACAAGTGTGTATAAACAAAATAATAAGAGTTAAATACACTAATGGTCTATTAACTTGTCACAGTGTGCCACTTAGCTCTACGAACTCTGAAACGCATTTATAAACCATTAAAGTTGTTTTTGTGGTGAAGTGTGGGTCCATTTGATTCATGTTAGCACATGTTGCCTATATGGCATGGCCAACGTGGACACTAAAATATGGGTTTACATGTCATTAGCGTGTATCCCTCCTCTTCTCTCTGGCCCACTCATTTCTGTAGTAGGGTGCAAGCGCCTCCGCCCTTCACCCTGTCTTCTTGGCGCAATAACAAGAGGTAGGCGAGAGAAGGATTGGTGGATTGAGCGCGGGCTTAGTGTTTGATGATTGGCATATCGGAACATGGCGACAGAAGCCTCCCTCACATCCTCCGAGCTTGGATCATGAAGGCAACCCTAGTAGGTACTCAGAGGATCGAGCGAGAGGAGTCTATCACCGCCGCCATGCCCGCGCTATTCGTGGCTAGCGCACCCATGAGCAGTCTTAGGCTCAAAGGGCTCCACCTCAGTGGCCTCCTACTCCGGTAGTCTGGTGGCTTCGGGCAGCAACACTGGCCTCCTGCTACGCAAAGGAGGAGAGTGCAAGGGGAAAACAATACATGTCTTTGACATGTGGACCCACATTTCAGTGTCCATGTTGGCCATGTCACATAGGCAACATGTGCTGACATGGATCAAATAATGGACCCGCAGTGCACCATAAAACAACTTTAGTGGTTCAGAAATGCTTTTTTATAGTACGTGGACCTAAGTAACACATTATGACAAGTTCATGGACCACTAGTGTATTTAACTCAAATAATAAAATGTCATGCATATGAAAAGAAATCACTCAACAAATAAATTTCTTTGTGCTGCCCACGCAAACCCAGCCTAGCCGACTTGACCACCCAGCCTAGCCGATTTTCCCAGGCAACACACAAGCAAAATCTGTCATCAAAACAAGTAGTTTATCACACTAACATAAGACCCTTAGAATTTAAATGAGTTCGAGGCACACACAACAACCCTTAGAATTTAAATGAGTTCGATGCACAATAGGACTAATTACAATAGTTCTCAAGTCCACAAGATAGATGAACTACTAGATTATTACATGATAAAACATCTCTCAGCTCACAAACCAGCAAAACAAAGATATGACCTTGAAGCTTTAATCCTTTCTTCCCCCTTTTTCATCAACTCACCCAAAAAGCGAAGAAAAATGCTGATTTGGAGTTGCCACAAGTTCATCACTCGTCATCACCATTGCCACTACCAAGAGACGGATCTGCCCAATGGGTACCACCACTACCACCCTGCAAACTACTCCTGCCACTAGCACTAGGAGCGATCTTGGCTGAGAAAATGGGTCTAAAAAGTGGTGAGCAGCAAAGGTGCTCGAGGGTCCTCCAGGTAAGCTACCGCCTACCAAAGAGAGACGACATAGCTGACTAAGTGATGGCATCGATCGTTGAAGCTATAGCTGGGTCTGGAGGTGGTAGAACTGAGGAAGGACTTGCCATATGTGCTGGCACATACCCATATGTCATCGAAGACTGAGTGCCATAGTACCGAGAGTATGGATATTGCTACCACCACTCCTTGATATACCTCTCCATAGATCTGTGAGGAGGTGAAGCAGGCTCTTCTTGTTCCTATGGAGGTGTTGACACACTGGGCCCAATAATAAGAGTGTATATCTCCCTGAGCATCTGTGTGCCCCTCCTCCTTTGTCTGTCTCTCTCTATGTGCCCTCTTATCAATATCGTGTTGCCTCTTGTACATCCCAAAATCATATTGAACATCTTTTCTTATTGGAGATGGAGGCTTGTCGCCTCGCCGAGGCACATACTCCCACTGATATCCTAGTTGCCCTTTAGACTATGTAGGCTGACTAAAAGTACCAACTGGAGGTGGAGATGCAGAAGAGGACTCACTAGGTCATCTGTGCATAATGGGATCCTTCACTCTGATTATCCTCAATGGCTTATGCTTGATATCCTTCACAGACTGTGTCTGAGTGACACTCTCAATCATATACAATAGGAAGGAAGCATAGTCACAATTCCTCAATGGGCTCTGAGAGATAGACTTGATTTCTTCCCAAATGAAGTTGAACACACTGAATGACAAGGCATTGGAAGCCATCTGAGCATGCAAATTCTTGGTATAGAATGTGATGTTCATAGAATCACCATCTTTAGGAGTGAGGGTCCTCCTAAACATCCTGTTGAGATAGGAATCATATGTATATGTATACATGCCAGTGACGGTGCCAAAGAGACCTTCATCTCTTGGAGGGTACATAAACTTCGTATCCTTGGGTGGAAGAGCAATCTCATTATGTATGTTAGGACGGTTCAAATCACCGCTCCCACACCCAAACAACCACCTGAACTGAGGATAGCTCACGCTATGCCTGATGCCCTCAGTCATTCAATGCATCTTCTAGTTCTTCATAACACTACAAGAATCTTCAACATACAATGTGGCATAGAACTGAGCAATGATTTCATCATTCCAATCTTGCTGATAGCCCATTATCTTCTTGATCTTGTAAACATGCAACTGTCACTTCATTGAATACAATATCATTCTTCCTCTGCATGTAGTTCCAGTCAATACACTGACTCCTGTCTTCTTTGGTGAGGATTACATATTCATCAAAATCTTGCCAGAGACTGTGAAACATGTAATCTGAAGCACTGTATGGAGCACCCTGGGATCTAGCTTTTGTCTCCTCAAATCCCTCACTGTATTTGTCATCCCTTTGCCTTTATAGTTTGCTTTCAACCTATGCAGGGGGCGATAGGTATTCTAAGACGAAATATCTTATGGGCATAGACATCGTCTTCATAAGAACATCTTTGTATGCTCGCAGTGTATTTGGCTCCACATACAGACATAAGAACACCTTTGTATTTTTGTATGGTCTGAAATGCGCCTGCTTGTCTCTCTCTTTCCACGAGCTGACGCATGGGTCCACACGTCGTCCCCTTCCTACTCTTTGTTCGCCTACAGTACAATTCTTCTCGATGAGCTTGGCTGAGTGGTATTGAATGCATTTGAACGCCACCACGAAGCTGAAAAGGCTATTGAACAGAATCTTAACTCTAAAGACAAAAGTATGCAGATTATGGTGTTCACATTCTCGTTTGTACCTAACATGACGCTTTTACCATCGACCTCTAGTAGGTTCTGTCTACACCAAACACATCGAATGTAACAATCTATTCATTTATGAACGCCACTCTGAAAAACAATAATGTCTTTAATATGCATGTTGAACTATGGTGCTACGTTTTATTTATAAAAAAAAAACTTTTGAATCAATAGAAGCATAGAACAACTCCACGTGATCTAGTCAAACTAATCAGAAAGTACAAACCAACGGTCCATTCTTGCTTGCTAAAAAATCCTTGCGCACCAACTCCAGTCTCCATACAGCATAGACGACCCTGCACAACAGGCAGCAAGGATATATTATTATATACAGAATGATTAGCCACTACGGAACGTGAGCGAAATCATCATCATCATATATTATATTATATATACAGAATGATTTGCCAACGCAAAGAAACCAGCAAGCTCTGCGCCGCCGCGCCGCCGCGTAA